CAACCACAAGTCTGTATTCTCTGTCTGTGAGTCTATATCTGTCCTGTATTTATGCTTTGTTTTTGTTTGTTTGTTTGTTTTTGTTTTTTAGATTCCACATATGAGCGATCTCATATGGTATTTTTCTTTCTCTTGTATCTCATTCTTAATTGGCCCAAAGTGGCAACTTTATCTGCTGAAATTTTTATTCCTACCAATATGCTCTTAGCAGGACTGAGGGACCAGATTCTTAGATACCATGTGCATTGTATTTCTGCTTGCTTTCCTCATCAAGGTCTAATCACTAGTGACTTTGTTGGTGGACATTTAATACCAGCGGGAGGGAAAGCAAGATAGAGCAGATGTTTTGGGGTTACCAGGATTTGGAATCATAATATCTCTAAGTCAATGCTTCATAACTTTTCCACCATCTCTTTAAAAAAAAACATAAAACTTACTGCCCTCCAAAAAGTTCTGGCAGCCCTGGATGGTGGGAGGCTCATGCTCATAAAAAGCACTGCCATGGGAGCTTTGTTTCTTCCTCAGGGAGGATTCATTTCATCAATATTTACTGAGCACCAGGTACCATTCTAGGTGCTGGAGTTTATCAGTGAAAAAAGGGAAAACAATCCCTACCCCTGCAGGGCTTACTTTCTAGTGGGAGCGCTTACTTTCTAGTGGAGGACATAGCTAGGTGTCTTAGGAGGAGATCCCACCCAGGGCCCCTGAGCTCACATGGAAGATGATTTTGTCATACTCATTGGTGCCCATAGTCGTCTTCTTCATTCTTTGATGGATACCCTGAAGTACCCACTCCCCCTTGCTCCAAATGATGTTCTGTGATGTTTTCAAAATCTCCTGCACATCCTTATCCATGCCCAGGACCATATTCTCCACTGCAAAGGAGACCCAGACAACTCAGCTTCACCCAAAACTCCCAACCCCTTTGCCCGGACTGTTGGAGTCCTTGCCACTTAGCTTCCACAGCCCTTTCAGTGGGATTCCCTCTCTGTTCCCAGCTTTATGTCTTCTTCTCTCAAGTCCCTTTCTCTACCTCTCAAAAGGCCACTATATTTGAGCTTCACTCACCTGTGTAGATGAAAGAGCTGAAGGTGAACGTGCAGTTCTGTTCATCAAAGGGGAAGTAGAAGATGTCCAGGTTGCAGATGCTGACCACCCGCATTGGCTTGTTGTATTTGATGCGACCATCACTGTTGACATAAGCCATGAGACCTGTAGGTGTCTTATCCACATCCATGCTGTATGTGAGAAGGATGGGGAGGTGGATGCTGTGGGTTCCCCATCAGACCTGACCTTCTTTCTCAGGTCGCCCCATTCCTGTGCTCCAGCCCCACTCGTCTGACCTCCCCCTTCCACCTATCGCCATGTTCTGGGGGTTTCAGATGCTGCTCCTTTCTAGTGGAGTCTTTGTGTGGCCCCTCCTCCTGGTTACATCATGCTCTTCCCTGGACATATGGTTTCCTTGCTCTTTTCAGCCCCGATACTCACAACTCCTCGATGAAGATATCTGGAAGCCACAAGTTCTCAGCTGCCATGCTGAGCTTCCTGATGCCCCCGCATTCCTTTGGGTTCCACCTGATGAATGGGTTGTACCAGATCTGGAGGAATCCATGGTGTGGGACAAAGCAGGCGGGGACTGGTTTTAGTCTTCCTCTGTCTCCTGCACTTTATACTCCTTTTTTCACTCATTTCTTTACTCTCCCATCCCCTCTCTGGTGACAGCTGTCACAAGGTCACTAACAAAGTTTTACTTGCTTCCACTTCTCCTTCAGTGCTCTCAAGGGAGACCTGGAGTTTGGCTTTGGATTCCCTGGGATGGAGCCACTCAAATATTGGCTTCCATGACCTTGGTTTATGCCACCAGCTACCTATGCCCCATCTCTGCTCTCCTAAAATGGCAGAATAATCAGGAAGTTTTGCATTTTCATTATTGGTCTGGCTCTGTTGGAACTTGTTTAATTTGCGGTATTCTCAGATTTATCCATTTGAATCTGCCAAATTGGACCCTGGAGTGGAAAAAGAGAAGTATCATAGCAAAGGGGAGACTGGGACTCTCATACCATATTCAGCCACAGGAATGATGTCATCAGTTGAAGCTGTGCATCCTGGAAAAACAATTTTCATCCAGGATCATTAACTTTATGAAGTCAGTTCCAATGCCACCACCCACCTCTTACTCATTTCCAAGGCTGTTCTGTGTGGCAGTTATGATTTTTAATCATAAGGCACTGAAAAATGTAAGTCATATAATCCAGGGTACATGGGAAGTGTAAATGAAAGCATCAGTATGAGGATCCATCGGGATTATGTTTCTTGTGGAGTATTCGAAAAAAAGGGACAGATTTTACCTGCAGCAATGCCATCGTAGCATTTCCTGTCATGCCTCCCTATCCCACAGACTGAGCTCTTAATTTTACAAAATCCAGTCAGGCGACCCGCTGCTCACCACTAGACTGTTACAGAGTTGAGTCAGGACTTACTACTTCCAGGATGGCATACAGGGTGAAGGAGATGTTGACATGAGTGGGAAGGCTGAAGTTGGTGACTGGAGGGAAGGCTTTTCTGTCAAACACTGCTTTGAAGGTGGCGGGATCCACCCCGTGCTGGTCAAAGCCTGAGCAGTTGATGGTGAAAGTGTCTCCTGTTCCTGTAGAGAGCAGAGACTGTGAGAAGGGTGCTGGGGCTGGGGCCTGGGGAGTGTTTCTGCACAGAGAGACAACAGGGGGCATGGGAGAAGCGTGTGGATTCCTTCTTCCTGGGCCAGGGAGCATGGGCTGGGCTGGCAGGCAAATGGTGGAAGTTGATGAGGTGAGCTGAGCCAGGGCTCCATCCTCAATTCTGTTGTTTCTCTCTCCATGCAAAACTTGTCCAAATGGGTATGCAAAATCAGCCCTGACCACCATTTTTTAGTGTCCTGCTACGTTCTCAACAATCTCATCACAAACATCTCCCCCTTCATTTCGTGTCCTTCCATTGCTTGTCTCTGTCCTTGAGCCACTGGGTTGAAAGTCAGTGACAAATTTTGTAATCACAGTTCTCCTCCTCACTATATGAAAAGGGCATAGATGGTCATGAATTAATGATGAGAGAAATAATCAGGTAGGTAGTGAGAAATATGTGAGACCTTAAGGAACTCAATTTTTCAATTGAATGAGTATATACCATGTCTCTGCTATGTGCTATGATTGTTCTTTTCTAAAACTCAGGAGTCATCACCACTGAGACCATCTTAAAAAGAGTTCCTCGATGCCCATCTCATTCCTAACCCTTTTCTTATCATACTTTGTGGAGCAGAAACTGAAAATGTATGTGATAATGTCTTCTGGTAGAGTCTGTTTTAATCTGCCTCTGATATTGTCATATCCCTCATTGCTTATTCTCAGTAATGAACAGAAAAATACTCTCAACTTGGAAACTGGACTGAAAAAGTTTCCCTCTTTCATGACAGATCTTCTCATCCGCCTCCTTCCCCTTAGCATCTTTTCTTGTTGCATTTTCTTTGCTTAAGAGAACTAAGAAAGAATTTTCTTCTTCTCAACATCAATTGATGCTCAGAAGCCATGGGGATAGATTTTATGCTTGGAAACAGAAAAACACAGGGAAAAAGAAGCGTGGTGGAAGAGGGTGGAGAAGTAGCTTGAGAGAAGAGTCAACCAACTGTTAGGATCCTAGAAAGAGCTACAAAACTGTCAGTTATGAGTTGAATGAACACCCAGTCACTGATAAAAATTAGCCTGGCTTCTCTGTTTCCCAGAGGTTATATGTTTGCTTTGCTCTTGCTCTTGTCCCATCTTACCTTGAAGCAGCAGGTAGAAAATGAGGCAGAGAAGGAATCCTTCCCCACGGAGCCAGCCTCTTTCCATCTTCCTCTCCTTGGCTCTTCTCTGGGAACTAGTGATGATGTTGACCTTAAAAGACCACAGGCCACACCTCAAGGTCTAGCTTTGAATAATTCAGGTGTCAGGTAGCATGAGCCATGTCTCTAACAAGCATCCCTGATGACAACAGAATATCACGGAGGACTACCCAACCTTAACTAGACCTGCATCTAGTATCCAAAAGTAATCTGACAAATCAGCTTGGAGAGGAGGAAGGAAAAACATTTGGTCGCTGGAGCAGTGCTAATGGGCCCCCTCATACTTTAGAGTCACTCTGGCACATGATGCACCATAGGAAAAGCACACAATGGCTGCTGTTGCCTTTGGGTGGCACATGTACTGCTGCCAGCTTTCAGAAAAACCGGGGATGGCCTTCTTTTTTATAATCAACTTGAGATTGAGGTTTTAAATATGACTTCCTTACTGGTAAGTCTTAACTTTTGATATTTTGAGTGTCAAAAGCAATTTGGACCCAGGTCTACTGGATGGAGGGAGTTGGGTAGAGGGGAGGTGGCAGAGTTTTTAGCAGAAGTTGGCTTGTGAGGTCATGAGTGATCAGCCTTTAAATTCATGTTGTTTTTGGCCCCTTGGTGTTTTTAGAATAGTTAGTTGTCAACATTTTAAAAATTGGGAGATTTCACATTAAAAACTGTGTTTCTGGCTTCACTTGAAAAAGAAGATCAAGCAATTCTTGGCTCACATTTCTGCTTGACAACAACACTTTCTGCCAAAGCTAAGATGTGGTTAAACCCTTTGGATGGAGCATCTAGATCATCAGTTTCTGTCACCAACTATTGTCTTATCCTGACTGGCTTCCCTCATTTATGTTACCTGCTTGGCCCCTATAGGCATTTGAGTTTGCCTTTGAGTGTTATGATTAATTTTCTTGTTTGATTCTTTTTTTTTAACACTTTTTATTGATTTATAACCATTTTACAATGTAAAATTCCAGTGTAGAGCACAATTTTTCAGTTATATATGAACATATATATATTCATTGTCACATTTTTTTCTCTGTGAGCTACCCATAAGATCTTGTGTATATTTCCCTGTGCTATACAGTATAATCTTGTTTATCTATTCTATGATTTTGAAATCTCGTCTATCCCTTCCCACCCTCTGCCCCCTTGGCAACCACAAGTTTGTATTCTATGTCTATGAGTCTGTTTCCGTTTTGTATTTATGTTTTGTTTGGTTTTTTGTTTTTTGTTTTTTTTTAGATTCCACATATGAGTGATCTCATATGATATTTTTCTTTCTCTTTCTGGCTTACTTCACTTAGAATGACATTCTCCAGGAGCATCCATGTTGCTGCAAATGGCATTATGTTGTCAGTTTTTATGGCTGAGTAGTATTCCATTGTATACATATACCACATCTTCTTTATCCAGTCATCCGTTGATGGACATTTAGCCTGTCTCCATGTCTTGGCTATTATAAATAGTGCTGCTGTGAACACTGGGGTGCAGGTGTCATCCTGAAGTTCTTGTTTGATTCTTAAAGAGCCTTAGGAAGTAATTTCAAAAATACCATGCCATTCCTAGGTGAGCATGGGTCTTGTCAGATTTAGAACCTGCGGGGGGAAAAAAAAAGATAGAATGTACAAATATTTGTTTCCTAGTGGAAAGCAGACGTATGGGTAAGTGAGCCAAAGTCATCATTGGTTTAACCTGTTTTATGCTAGAATGATTTCTGTTAGGGAAGGCTCCAGGGAGTGCCATCAGTGGCTAGAACGAAGGGAGAGACGTTGCTTCAGTGAAGAAGCTTTGCAGATTAGTTGGTATGAGACAGTAAGAAAAGTCTAAGAACCGAATCTTGTTTCTGCTAGAATCATGTCACTCTTCTTCAGCCCCAGTTTCCTCGTCTCTCAGGCCAGGAGGATAAAACCTATCTTGCAGGGGTTTCATGTGGTCAGAGATAATGTTTGTAGATTGCCTTTCCCATCCTAAGGAGTTAATGAATGGAAGCAGGAATAACAGTAAAAATGGCAGAAATAGTAGTTGCTGTTATCCCTGCTCTCTCAAGATGGCTCAGGTTGCTTCAGCCTGAATGGAATCTTCCAGACTTCAAATGTCTGAGTGGCTGAGTCAGGCCCAGTTCCTCTGAGCAGAGGAGCATTTTCTCTTGGCCACTCTCAGCTGCATACTGTCAAGGACCATCCCTCCACTCTCAGCATCATTCTTCATCAAGATTTGAGAATCCTTCCCACTGTGGGAAGTTCCTTCTTCTTTCT